CTGGGATGGAGGAGTAGTCAATAATGAGCCTCCTCAGTTATGATTCTCGACAAACGGAATCAATCAGCCAGCCTGAAGGCTTGCTAGATGCTATTGAAGTGCCGTTCACACTGGAATGGGATCAATGGCTAAGCTAGAGTTGACCATTGATCTGAACCATCATCTGGTCTCCTTCCCTGTCCCCTCCTCATACTTCAGCAGGGCCTAACAAGGTGAGAAAGCCAAGACAAGCCTGGCTGAAGTGAAACGGCAGCAAGCAACGCTCACCCAGTCTTAAAAACACACAAGCTCTCTTAAGGTTCCTCATGGGCTAAATGGTGCTTTACACAGCCATTACTTTTCAAAGGTCACTTGGGCCTCCACAAGGATTTTTCCTGCTATTTAGAGTAATAATGCTACTTTAATAGTGTACGTGCTACTACTCTGGCACTCTAACACCAAGCGGACATAATCTGCATCTGCATCAAATGTAGTTCACTGGACACAAAGAACCTGCGTGTGCCTTCCTCATATTTTTATCCTATTTGCTATAAGCTTTTTTAAGCCTGACATGTTGCACTGTCCTTTTTAGGAGTGGTTTTATAATAAAATAGGGAGTGCCTACTGCTTATCACAATATGAACAACTCCTAATAATGTCCTGAAATTACTGGAGGAGTACTTTGCAGATTTACAGAAAATGTTCTTACGATGTGCTCAGAGCTGCAGGGAAATCCTCATTGGAATGCTGCAAAATTTCTGTGTACTACAGCTTCTTGGCTCCGCCCACAGCAAAATCAATCATCTGTCAATATCCACATGGGTCCCCAAGAGCATTTCCAGACTGCATATGACTAATAACTATAGATAACTAAGATGATGACACATGCATAAACATATCTATCAATGCAAATATATTAACAAAAGCACCCACTTAGGAATACATCCTGGCTCTGTGGTAACAAAAAAAAAAGCTGTGAATGCAGGTGCATTTGAGTGTGTTCATACTGGCTGTAAGGTGCTTCTTAGATATTTACATTTTACAGATGCCTGCAGGTTACATGAACAGCAGTCTTACATAAAATATTCCCACATTTCGTGCCTGGATTGATGTTGGAGTGCTGTCAGAGTATTCCACAATCTCCATCAATGCTCACGTAGTCTGAGACAGATGACTGACATGATGTGCATACACATCAGGCACCTCGGTTTTTGCCTTTAATCTTCCAGTAATTCATATTTCTAATGCACTTGGAAGTTACATTATAACAAAATCCTACGGTTATCATGTTAACAAGAATCCTATATGCATATATGAGGTGTGATTAAACATTTCTGATAGTGGAGCAGTAGAAATCTAAAGCCATGCCTGATTTAAAGTTGGCCCATGATCAAGATTGTTCATTGTAACATTGTTACGTTTCCGTCTACTTGGTCTCTTCCAGGGTGTCAAAAGGGCGTCAAGGTGCCACTAAGTTGGCCACTAAGGTGGACTAAGTTGCAGGAAGCCAAATGTTGTAAGTGGTCCATGTGGTGAGTAAAACCTGTTATTGCGTAGCCAAAATACCTCTTGCATGGACTACAGTCCAGATAGCTTCTCTTTCAAAGGTAGAGTAGAACTCGATATTGTCTCACATTGTAGAATGAAGTTGCGGTACACAACCCAGCGAACAGCAAGAACTAATGACGAGCATGTCTCTCACCTGACGCACTGCATTTGGGCTTAGAAACTGTGGACTGAACTGAAAACTACTCGGTAATGATAATCCTTCACATGCATGAAGCTGATCAATCCAAACAGTGAGAACCGGACCTACATTGGCCAAATTTGAATCAGTAATTACTCTAATGTGAATTTAACTATAATTCAACTATTATAGCTAAGAGGTAAAGAGAGGTAGCAGTACGAAGCAAAGCCTAGACACTAATTCAGGCAGGGAACTCAAGATACAGTGTGTCATACACACCAACATGCCTCACATTCCTCACATCATATACCCTAACACACCCTCCAAATTTAGTTGTGGCGATAAGCTGAATAACTTGCTCTCACTTCCTTTAAACTACTGTTTCAACCCCTCCACCATCCCAGCATACTCTTTAGTCATCACGCTCTAATTTCTGTATGGAACACTATTTTGAAAAGTGAGCTCAGAGCCTAGCAACCCTTACGTATACTCTACTGCTGTAATAATAATAATCATTTCTTACACGAGCTGTCTGACTGTTGCTTTGTTATTTTGTCAGTGTAGTTTGCTCTCTTGTATAACTAGCATAGAGACAGAAGTCTTCAATGACTATGACTTTATTAACACTAGCTAAAACAGGGGTGGGCAATCTCAGTTCATGAGGGCCGGTGTCCCTGCAGGTTTTAGATGTGTCCTCGAACCAACACAGCTGATTTAAATGGCTAAATTAGCTCCTCAACATGTCCTGAAGTTCTCCAGAGGCCTGGTAACAAACTAATCATGTGATTCAGGTATGTTGACCCAAGGAGAGATCTAAAGCCTGCAGGGACACCGGCCCTTGTGGACTGAGATTGCCCACCCCTGAGCTAACATCAGTCACTATAAGCTACTGGCCACACTGAGCCCGTACCAACAAAATGCCTTAGTATTTTGAACGCACTAAACTGAGCTTTGAGGTCCCTTTGAAAGAATGACATTATTTTTAAAGGCTACACTGTCTCACTTTAAAAGGAACTTTTTTCAATGAAAAAACATTGTAGACGATGCTAACTGTCCTTCTGTTGACTTTACTCCTCTTCACAGTAGCTTTAGCAGCCTGTACAGGAGATGCACGAGCATAATTAAAAACATTATTAACAAATGCATTAAATCTAGGGAAGCAAGCTCTGGGGCATTATAAGACACACTTTAATGAATCAAATTGGCTGCCACAAAAGCACAGGTACTAAGCAAACTTTGGATGCTCTTTAATGCCATTTTTATTAGATCTGATTTAAATGTAAATTACCTATGTCTAACACAACACTTGGTTTCTTGTTTCTCACTGTTGTGCTAAACTGCAGCTGGCAGCAGATGTGAGGAACCTAGAGAGGAGAGGAGAGCAGAGGAGGTGCAGGGAGTGAGATGCAGGCATCAGGCTGCAGTGTGTCTAGACAGTATTCATGATCCATCTGTCTGCCACCGCCACGACAACAGCCAGCGGCTGCAACAAGATGGCAAACTCCATTAACACAGAAACGTTTTCTATGTCCCTCTCCCTTCCTCCTTTCCTCCTCTTAATCCCCCTCTCTTTCCATCCATGGCTGTGTCTCTGTCTGGTCTTCCATCTCACTTCAAGCCCCTCTTTGTCTCTTGTCTCCCCCTGAGACTGCCTGCACTCTTTTTCTTATTTTTTTGTAATCGTCCTATTCCGTTTTTCTCCTTTCTCTCACCTTCTTTTCCCTGCAACCATCTCTCTGCCCTTCTTGTGTCTCTATGGCATCAACAGAAAATGTGCACCAGCTCAGAAAATTACACTCATTGAGCAGCTTTCCCGTAATGCAAGCTGCAGACTCTTACATTAACATCCGCTCTAGATAGCTAAATATTTTAAGCACCCAGCTCAGGAGGATTCTATCCATTGGAAATTATCCCCCCACCCCCACCCATTTAAATCACCCTAAAATTTAAATAAATATAAAAAATGTTCATTTGCTGTGCCTTGTAGAGCTGCAGAAATTTAGATAGACAGCAGCAGAAAAAAAAAGTGAGATAGATTCAAAAAACAACAAGGTTGGAGGGGTTGGAGAGGTGAAACACATTTGAGGGAGGAAGGTAGAGGGCGGGGGAGTGAATGAGGGTGGGTGAGATGAGAGAAAGAGATGGAGAGGAAGGTAAGAAACCTGCCAGACACGCGCGCGCGCGCGCACGCACACACACACACACACACACACACACACACACACACTCTCTCTCTCTCTCATGGAGCCAAGGATGAAAGTGCTGCTGTAAAAAGTTTTCCCTCTCCTCCTAAAAGTTGTTGAAAGAGAACGCCGCAGCACATCAAAGTGGCCTGGCAGACAGCCATTGAAGCCCAGTGGTGTCCTTCACCCTCTCTCTCTCTCTCTGTCTGTCTCTCTCTCCCTCTCTCTGCACCTCTCTTTCCATCTCCCCCTCTCAACATCTCTCTCTCTCTCACTCCCCTTCTGTGTTTTCATTGATTGTGACGAGTCAAGGGAACACTCTCATCTTGTTCCCTGGACAGTGGTGCTCAGCAGGAGCTAGAAGCAGGTGGCTGGTGCTGGCGGTAGGGATGAGAGGGTGCGGTATATAGATTTGGTATAATGCCTGTACACTTTGTTCCCTTATACTGATAAGCAAGGATGACGTCACAAAACAATACAACATGCAACTGAAATCAAGTTCTCAAGCAGTGACAGTTACCCTGCCATTAATTTCATGTGCTTTCAGCCCTCAACACAATTTCCAGATGATTAGTTTTGCATTTGAGTAAACTCACGTTTCTCTGAAATTAGACTAAGTATACTAGGAAGCAGGTCTCAGGTCAGTTTGTGTCAGCTTGGGCATTGCACACATAGAGCTCAGGGGTCATTTCGTCATTTGTCACAGAGTCTTAACCCATCTCGGTTTGCTATTGACCGAACACATGCTATTGCACCGGACAGGTAGTTTAGTCCACAGAAGAAACTAATATACCGCTCCAGATATGTAGCAAAGGAAACATGGGTTTTCAGGTTATACGGCTTCATTAGGATTACACTGAAGTGATGGATCAATGTAAAACAACAACATGCCAAAAGTACTTTGATGAATGATAAAAGTAAGTGTGAAGTTAACTATTGCACCATTTAAAAACTTTGAATGTGAAGTGCCGGGGGCAGAAGTCAGAAAGTTTGCAACACCCATGAGAAAAGCTCAAAACCCCAAACCCTTGTCCCCGGTGGGGCAAAATCAGAAGTGAGGCAAAGCAGAGAGAGGATGCGTTGGTGTGGTTTGATGGTTTGAGGTAGACAGATAGAGACACAGATGTGTAACAGCATCCTGCAACACTCACAGTTGAAGATGCCCGGCGGAGGGTGTTGGGTGACCACAGGGCAGTTCTCCTCATCGCTGTTGTCCCCACAGTTATTCAGCTGGTTGCAGATCAGCGAGCCCAGACGCAAGCAATTCCCATTGGTGCAGTGGAATTTGCACTCTGTACGGTGAGGGAATAAAAGACATGTTACATTTCTTAGCAAGAATAACAAACATTTAGTTGTCTGAAGCTGTACATTGAAATGAGGCAAAGCCTGATGTTAATACCACATTTTGTTTCCTATCAGAACAAAATGTTCTATTCATTCAAGATCCCAGAGTCATAATCATCTTTTAAAGAATTAGTCTGCTTCTTCTCTGCTCTGGAAAGATCTATAATTAAAAAAAAAAAAACATTTAGAAACAATCACAATCAAACCATAGTGGAAAATTAAAATATATATATAAAAATGCCTTTTGGTAAAAATACATGTTACAAAAGAGGGAAAGAGAGAGAAAAACACAAGTTGAAAAAAAAAAAGTCCGCCCACACACATACACCAGTGTCACTGCAGTAGTAGTGCATTCAGGCGAGCTCTAAAATGTGTAAAAGCATTGATAAACCGCACAGACAACAAAATGTTCAAATGCTGGACTGTTATGTGAAATCCTCCCCGTTATCTACGCTTCAGAATGTGCAAGGTCGCGTGGAATGAGGTTTTTTTTTTTTACCTGTAAGCTCAAATACAAAGCAGAGTTAATGTGCTGAGTTCACACAGAAACAAGGTCAGACAAAAAAGTGGTCTCCCGTTCAAAACAACAAATAAATAAACAGCTCTTTCAAACGGCCCTTTGATGTGCCGCAGCCCTGAACCGTAATGTGGTCCCGTCACGGCTATTACCAAAATGCTTCTCTCCCTCTAAATATTAATACGCCTGATTAGCGCTATCTGGTTTGAAAAAAACATAAAAACCCTCCAAACTGTAAATGGGAAAGTATATATATGTGTGTGTGTGTGTGTGTGTGTAATCATGTAGAGCTTTAATCGTAACAAATAAGAATAATAACAACAAAGTGTTTGATGCACCACAAAGCAAGGCCATGTTAGTGTGGCTCAGAGTGTTATTTGTGTGTTTTTAGTGAAGCCGATACGTGAGAGCTGCACTCACACCGAGTTCGCCAGAACTTCACCGACTGCAAGAACAGCGAGACATGAATGACAGTGTTGATGTGCACTCGTACAGACTGTGATGGTTTTTCCTGTGACACATTATGATTGATATGTTTTTCGATTATACGTGGAGGAAAAATGCATTTATGCTGAATGGAAACGAGTATTTTAAAAAATCAAGAAAAAAAATATAGTAAAAATTTCCTTAAATTGTCGCTAGTTTTTACTCTAAGGAAGAAAAAACTCTATGCACTCTATGCCAGCACTGTGACAACAGCTCTTAGTGTAGATGCAGTCTTTTCTTTTTAGTTCCTTGCACTATGGGTTATCAACATCTGGTGCGTAGACTACCCACAATCCATCATGACCACCACCTGTAAAAGTGATGCTTTAAATAGAAGATCCCAGTTTTTGGGATGGGAACAAAAAAAGTCATGTGTTACAGATTACTCGTTTCTTCTCCTAAAAGTAATGCAGTTCATTACTTAACACTACTTGTTACATGCAGTTACATGTTAATGTGCTTCAATCCGTAAAATGATCTGAAATAGCTTGTCACATAACTATCAGGCTAACCTCAGGTTACAAATGCCTAACCAACAACAATGAAGAATCCCTATCGTAATGACAACACACACACACACACACAAACACACACACACACACACACACACACACACACACACACAATATTTCTTTTAGTTTTAATGTATGAACACAAAACTGACAACACAACACCTGAAAACTAGCCAAAAGAGACTTGAAATCGCCATAATGAGTCAACCGTAGAAACACAAACAGGTAGAAACAGAGGCTACAAGCTTGACTGCTTATCACTGCTTTTGTTAACTGCTGAAGTTCAGGCTCTGGCAGCTGAACTGGGGTCTGCATACACTCAGCTTTAGCATTACGCTGGGTTCTTGGCTAGCTTTGTGTTAACATGCCATCTGTGCAGATGCTTGCCGACAGCACAAGGTGCACCATCAATATAATACAGTTGTTTCTGTCTTAAACCCAGCTTGCACTTTGCCCTCACACACATGTCCATACTCTCACTCCTCAAACGCTGTAGAATGCTCCACCATTTCCTTCATCCAGGCACACTTACTGAAATCTGGTGTTTGTAACACAAATAACAACATAATTGCAGCTGTTATGTATTAACTTACTTAAGTTACTGCATGACAGAAAAATGTAATGCGGTTAAAGTAATTAATTACTGCGTAACTATTTGTTGAGGAATTTCTGTTTCACATCTTTGAGGTTCAGGCTGGACTCTGAATGTAAGCAGTAGATTTGCACCAGACTACAGACTTGTGATTTTTGTCAGTTTATCACAGTAAATATTTATTTTTATTATCACAAACAGATTGGATGTAATCACCAAATCAACCCCATTCACTCACAAACTGATAGCAGACCAGGGGCAGACTGACTCATCTTATTGCAGATTTATCATTGTTCTGATGTGCCAAAGTCACTTTGAAGAGTGGAATAGGCTACCAAATGTTTGAGGGCCTTGTCCAAGCAACCACTTCAAAAGACTCATCAGTAAGTTGTTATAATTTTGGTCACGCGGGATTCTCTGGGCACTTTTTTCCGTGGTGTGACATATATAACGCCAACAAGGCGGGTCTTCACTATGTTATGAATCATTAATCCACAAAGTTTTACTTACTTACTAATTAGCACCTGTTCTGATCATCAAGAAAGCAAAGTTAGAAAGTAGAAAACCTTTTTGGCTTATGCACTAGGCAAGCAATTCTCTGAGTGCTCTATCCAGTCCTCTTGGTTATGCTGTTATTAGCTGATACAGCCTGGAGCTGCTAGCCTGCAGCAAAGACGAGGGGCTGCAGAGATCACTTTCTCTGTCTCCACACCTCAAGTATTTATTTTCTCTGACCCACCTGTTTTTTATTCAAGTGGCATCACATTTATCAGACTTCACACTACAGGCATCAAAGGCTGCATAAAACTTAAATCACATATGCAGTTGTATTCCCCAGTACTGGTAAGCAGACTTTGGTGGTGTAAAATTTGTGGAGCTCGCCTTGTTCTTCAAGACACGACCTCCTTTTGGGAACTGTACCTTATAAAGGAAAGAAGGCATTTGTTTCCAGTACAGGTTGGCTGTTTGAAGTCTAATAAATGTCCTTAAGGTATGCTACTGGCAGTGTGAAGTTAAATAAAAGAAACCCCTCTCTACTTGATACTAATAAAACACCAGAATCTCTGTGTCACCGGTCAAGTTACATTGCAAGTGCTAGTAGGCACTAGGCTTCTGACAAATTGGAACAGTTTTTGGATTAAAAAATGTAACATCTCTGAACTACAAAGAGAGATATGCAAAATGCTTCGGGCAATATCTTGTGCTTTTACACATGATACAGATTTTTTAATTCTTGCATCTTTTCACAAGGTCAACTACAAAAGCAGATTCTTCTTTTTTGTTTTCCCCACAAAAAAACATTAATGATAAAAACAAAACTAAAATTGAATGATGATGACCAATTCACCCCAAAAGGTAAAACCAAGGGCAAAATTTAGTTTCTTTTAAGCGTTTTCAAGAAAAGGTACCACAATAAAACCATAACTACTCAAGTCAATCACTTGCCATGTGGCTAACTATAAAATGAAACTCAAGGATAAGCTCAGCAGGGCACAGCTGATGTCCTTCACAGACTTAATTGTAGATACTGAACAATTAATCACTTTACGGTAGTAAAACTGAAGAGTGCAACGCAAGCCATAAACTCTGAACATTCAAAATAAAAGCTGCACCTTTTGAAATGGGTTCATTTCAGCAGTAATAAAGAAGTTTTACTTTGAAAGGTAACTTTCTCTATTTCTAGTTTGCATCTAGTTACATCAACTTTTTTCAATGGCTAATTAAAATTTGCAGACAAGAGAGCATCTTCCACACAAACTACATGCAACTGTGACAACCTGATAGCGACAAAATGGGGCCAGTACAGTCTTTGAAACTGGTTTTACCCAGTGACAGCCAGCCTGCACTTACCAACAGGTTGAAGAATACAAATGTTTCCCTAGCGAATGTAGATTGCCGGGGGCAGGGTGCTGGCTGGTCTTTAGGCCTGTGTAACTAAGGCCTAAGTTGCTTTAACTTGTCTACAGTCGCTGTAAATATACAAGCTGCTTTACAACACACCTCCAACCCAGCTGTTACTTTCAAGCTGGAATCAGTGTTAAATTGTTGTTGATGCCTGTTCTGCTTTATGCCGTTAGAGCCTTGTCTGCCTTGGGATTTTCATGCACATGGGAGTGCCAAGAGCTCCTAGAATAGAGCCATGCAATCAGTCTTATCACCGTCATGGTCCATGGTCCGTGATGGATATAGTTGCAACAAGTAAATACCTACGTAAGAGTAAAGACCAGGCTGCTAGCAGAAATTCTGAAATATCTTCTACAGAGACGTTTGGAAGTTACTGAAATTCTTCTTTTAGTTTTCTGCAGAAAAACACTTGTAAGTGTTTTTATCCCTTTTCTTATTCAACATCATCCAGAAAGTCAACAATTGACACTGTTTCCTCTTCTGTATAAAGACCAGAACCCAGTTTGTGGATTATTCAAAGTAACTGCATCATCATTTCAGGGAGAGACACTATGTGAATTTTTCACATTTCATTTTTCTACATTAGACAGAGCAAGTGCACACTAGTCAGACTGAGCACCGTTTAATAATTAAGTGTGTGAACTGTGCCTGAATTACCAATTATACTGTAGCCTGAACAGCAACCCATTAGCTGTACCGTGTATTTACTCTAATACTTGATCATTCACCGGGGCTCCTGAATATCGAGTGAACAAACACAGCTCATTTTGAAGTAAAGATGCACAGTTTCACTGGTAAAAATGGTCTCTGGTTCACCACAGCCAACATCATTATTACTGTAATTAAAACTCACACAAACTTTAGCAAATAGTAATTGAGATGTGGAGGCGTGTTCACCTGCATGTCATCTCCATGGATATGTTTTTGAACTCAGAC